GTCATCTCAACAACTATGATCAAACAAAGAAAATGGAAGCATCCTCTCTCCAAGAGATTTTGAGTCCGATCCACCACTAAGAACGCTTCTTCATATTACAATTCGAATGACCTATGCAATTGTCACAGTAGATGTGGCATAGAACGCGACAGAAAATATGGCATGTACGAAACACAAAATTCCGCCAATTGAGAAGAAATGATGATGCAATAAACCACATGAAGATCTCGATTTGTTATTTGACATTGTGCCAATCACTAGCATTCCCATTCCAACTGCCATTATTATCCTAAAAATCCCAAAAATTCAAACAAATTACAAAAATAAAGGAATAAGAATAACATGGTATATCTATAATACCACACCATTTAAAAGATAATATTATTACACAATTTAAATCTTAAATTTAGAATTACAAAATTTTATAATCTTTTTCGTATATTTTTAAACTTTGTGTCACAAAAGCAAGATATATACACGTACTAATATAACACATATACCAATAACAATAGCCTAAAATCACGGTAAAACATATTGATTAGAGCAACTTTCTTTATCCCATGCATTCTAAAGTGTGGGGCTCGAAGGGCTAAAGTCTCTATATTGTCTGACTTTTTTTTTTATATAAAAAATAAAAAATTGCAAAATAACAAATACAATTATCTACAAAAAAAATTAAAAAAAATTGTTTATGCATGTCTATTTTTTGGTGAATTATATTTGGCGAGTTTGTTTCAATTTATTTATCTTACTATTTTTTAGTGTGTTTTGAAAAGAATGCATCTTTTTTTTTCTCGTCATTGTGATAATTCTAACTGTTCAGATGACATGTTTAAGTCGATACGACCAAAAAGACATTACAATACATTATATTCCACTTATCTTTAACTAAAGATCATACGATTCAGATATATATCTTTTTAACTTTTTTAAACTTCACGTCAAGTAAAAATCAAACAAATAAATTCGTAACCACGTATCTTTAACTAAAGATCATACGATTCAGATATATATCTTTTTAACTTTCTTAAACTTCACGTCAAATCAAAATCGAACAAATAAATTCGTAACGGAGAGAGAGATATACCATGTGAAAAGAAGACAAGCAAGTGATAATTGTCTACTAGGTGGTGCTTTTTGTATGTCATCTCCAGTGCAATAGCAATAGCTGCAGCCTCCAACAAGATTAGCAAGAATATGAGCAGCTGCTAGAAGACCAGCAGCAGCTAACCCTAGAATAAATGCATCATGGCTTGGCTCTTTACACTCAAAAAACCATAGCTTCATGTGTTTTACCTTCAATACCACACACACACACAAAAAAATGAGTTTCAATTAAGTTCTATGACAATTGACAAACATTATAAATTGATATATAATATGATATAGACATGATTTAATTAATTCATTTCTATATAAATATAGTCCAAAAAATTTATCAAGTTATGTCAAATTCGTAGATAGAATTTTGAGTTTTTGGTTGTGAATATTTATTTTTTAAAAGAAAAGTAGTTTATTAAGTTGTACATAAATTATTTTTACTTATATATTTCTCTCTTTATCGATTTGTTTGTTTGATTTTAACTTGCGATGAAGTTATTAAGAAAGTAAAGTTTACTCCTCTAGTTTTAAGTTAAAGATATATTGAATATATCAAAATATATTTTAATCTTGTGATGTTTGATGTTAAACATGTATGAAATGAAAGAGTTGACAATAAATGAAAGTAGCATTTTTTTTAAAGAGATTAAAAAGGAGAGAAAATGAGTGCATGTTAAAGTAAAAAACACAAAAATTTAAGCAAAAGTTATTGAGTTCAGCCGAACTCGCATAAACAAAAATATAAAACTACACTCTTTTAACTATAAGAAGTTATTATTTTATTTTTCAAATTATTATATCAAACTTAATATAAAGAGTGACTTGTTACCTGGTTTTGAGCTCCTTCTGCTTTAATTCCAAGAAGACCAGCTAGAGCATCCAAAGCCACAATGACTAAGCATGCGAATATACCAAACAACTTAGACATTTTTTCATAAACTACTTAATTCAATGACAATTTCAAGAGGAAGAAGAAATAATTAACTTGTTTAAGGTTTTAAATAAACAAGCACCCCTCCACTCTATTAAGCTTGTGTGAAAAAGTGTAAAAGCAAAAATTATCACAATGACAAGAAGTGGATAGTTTAGTGAGCTGAGCTGGACTATATAGTACAAGTATTGAGCTAAAATGTGGTAGTTTGGATCTTTATTGCAATAAATAACAACAAGTAGTATCCATGACGCTGAATATGATAATTTGGAGTGAGTTTAACAATACATCTTGAAGTAAATAAAATACATATCTTTACTATCATGAGCCGATTGTTCATTATTTTCATCAACAATCATATCATCATTTTGATTTTCACCGAATATTTTATTATTACTTTAGTGTTCATGTCACACAAACAACTATTATATAGAGTGTTTTTGTAAAAGATAAAAACTTGATGTAAAATTTTAATTTTTAATAAGATTTGAACAAATACTAATATTTGAGAATTTTGAATATTTGCCAAATAATGACAAATTATATAAACAAATACTATTTATCAAATTTTTACTCAAATATTACTTGGAAAACCTATGGTAAAACGGGTCCCTAGTTTCGTTTTGGCCTTTTGTTCAACCTTTTCTTTTATCTTATATCTAGGATTCCTTTTAGTGGGGAACCAAGAATTTTTTCACTCTCAAGTCTACACCAGCTAAGAAAAATGGTGTGGCAAAAGTCATCAATAACAGTAAAAAAGAAAAGGTAAATTTTATTGAGTGACTACAAAATGTCATTTTTAGTTTAATTTAATTTTCATGTAACTCAAAAGCTAATTCACGATCAAAAGTGAAGGGAGAATATTAATTGTAAGAACAGATATAAGACAATAATTCTTATTAAATTCTTCTATAAATAAAAATTATTAAAACTATATAAATATATGATTACAAATTTAATAACTATGATAACTATAAATTCAATAATAATTTTAAATTTTAAATATTGATTTCGCCTTCTTCAACGAGGATTAAACCATACGACATGCAAGTGTGAAAGAGGGTAGTAATCTTTAAGACTTTTGTGCTACAAAATAAATTCAGTCTGATAATATTCGGTGGCAGTACATTTTGCTGTTGCTTTTCTAATTTCTTGGGGATTGTCGCTAAATCCGATAAAAAAAAATCAAAAATTATTATTACAATCGTTAAATTAATTACTTATTATTAATTTATTTTTTATGTAGATTATCAATTTTGATTTGACTTAAACCAGCCCTAGTAGAAGGCTCAACATCAATTTCTATCACATTACACATGAGTTATAATGTGCATCTTGCTTTTGAGTATTTCTTTCGTTTTAATTTATTTATTCTAATAACTATTTTGGATAGAATAAGATTTTTTTTGAATATTTTCTAAATGTTTTCAATTGGCAAATATTGTTACACAAAAAGTAATATGTAAATTTTATGTTATTTCAAAATGAAGATTTTACATATAAATACACAACAATTATTTTTTTTAATTTGATTCTCATACTTCAAATCAAACGAATAAATTGAAAAATATAATAAGTACTCAACAAAAATCTTAGACCATCAGTTTATAGATGTGGGCTTAAATTTTAGAGGCTTTGTATTAAATCCAAAAATAAGAGGTGACCTTTCATGTTTTTAAGAAACATGGACCTAACTATTCTAAATTATAGCCATACAGTCAAAGATACTTGAATAATGAAGTAGATGGTATCAATAGGCTAATTTTTCTCCAGTTGTATTCTAGTTATGGTTTCAGCCAGCTGCTAGTTGATAGGAGGTTACTTTACTTCTAGAAGTGGTTGCTCCATCACAATCTAGGTAACATGGAGCCACGATGACGGAGCTAAAATTTCTAATAAAAAAGTTTAAAATCTAACTATTTATATGCGATTAAAATTAGTTTTACACATACATACATACATAAATACATACATACATACATATATACATACATACATACATATATATATATGTATATATAGTTCTGTTTTTCGTGTATAAATAGTTCTATTTTCCGTTGAAGGGATTCATCACAGAAGGCTGGCTCCGCCCATGGCCACGGAGGGAAGCATATTCATAATTTAATGATGTAACTATGTCTGTTGATTTGATTTTAGTTGCCATCTATACTCTTTAACTTATGATATGTAGAAGATAGATTTGTATAAAATCGAACACGTAGACACATACGTTTTACTTGACATAATGCAATTAAGGTTCATTACAGGAAATAAAATTGTCATGTAGGACGTCAATGAATGTGACTATTTATTTAATTTTGAAAAAATTTAAGTGTTTAGTTATACAGATCCAAAATTAGAAGACATAAATATCAGTTTAGGTCAAGTTAAAAAAACATACTAATTATTATGTCTTAAAAATTTATGGACTTAGAGTTTACATCGAGCTAGTAGATTTTTTCTTTTTTAAAAAAATAAATAAGGGGTAGGAGAAGGAGAAATAGAGGAAGCGGGATGGAAATGCTACGAGATTTGAGTGAAGATGAGATATGTTGAAGAGTAAAAAAGAACATCGCATATAATGTCGTTTTTTAACTTGTTTATTCTGCTTCCACTAAATGAATGGTTATTTAACTCGTTTAATCTGTGAAAATATTTCCTTTGCTTTGCTTGTGTGTCGAGTCAAAATTATATCACATAAATTGAAACAGATAAAGAGTAACTTTCCACTTCAACAGCTACTTGGTCATTAAGGTTTCATTTTCAGTGAAAAGCACCCCACATAGATCCCACTTCCTCAGCATGTTCACAATTTCCCTATATATACTTTTAGTTATTTCATCAAACACTTTCACTACAATTCAAAATCTTCAAATTTATCTACTTTTCACTTGTTATAATGGACAAAATAATATCAAAATTTATGTTCTTTTGCTCTGTTTTCATTTCACTCCTGATTTTCCAAGGAATGGCGGAGAAATCTCATATTTCTCCGCCATTCCCACGAAAGCTTACGATTAGAAAAATAGCAGAGAGTAGCATTGCAAATCCACCATTATCGAAAGGCAGAATTGAAGAGTTGTTTGAAGAAGGAGAAAATGAAATTGTTGAAGCATGCTCTAGGGCCGAAGCGTCGGCCCCGGAGGGTACTAATATTTTGAAAATAAGGCATCATCATTCTGCTGATAAGTCTATTGCTGGTGGAGAGGTCATTATTGGTGGACTTGTTACTGCTATTTTTGCTGCGGTTTATTGTTATATTCGAATAACTAGAAAGAAAGATAATTTGTAAATATCAAATATTAAGAATTAAAATTTTTTAGTGTTGTACTAGTTATAATGCAAATTAAAAAAAAAAAAATTAAAGCAAAAAGATTATATGATTTTGTTGTTTTTGTTATTCGAAAGGTTCTCGTGATTCTCAATTTACTTTTTCTAGTTGGAATGAATAAGCGAATTGAAAGTTAACCCAATAAGTTGTGTTTTCAAGTATTCAGAACGTATAAACTCAAAATCCTGATTTTTGTTTCGAGCATTATGGCCACGACTACCGGTAAATGTGTTATTCAATACATGTAAGTTGATTGAATTTCAGATAATAGTAGTTGTTGATTCAGTAAATAAAAAGTTCATACAGAATTAGAAGAAAAAACTTGTAGCAGTGAAATGTTAGTCTGATAAGTTAAGAATTATATTTCATAAGTCATGCCAACTCTTAGTAGCCTTGTCTTGGGAATAGCCATCATTTTGTCACCTTGTCTGAAGTTCTTGCGCAAGAAAGTGTAGGCATAGTTGACAGCAAATTTCTTCAAGAACGACGAATCTTGTTTCGTCACAACTTCTGCTTCTCCCAACAGATAGAACACCCCTTGCTCTTTAGCTTTTTCCACAAATTGCATCTCTTCTTCTGTGTCGAAACTTGGTGGCACAACTTGTATTCGAGTTGATGAATGGTTAGACTGACCTGATGGAATGTTAAGTGATCGAATTGAGCCAGTTGTTGATGATACTCTTGATTCTACTTGTTGTTGAACGTCTTCCTCAACGTGGACCACAGTTGACGATGATTTTGCAGCTACTAGTTGGCCTGATACCGGTGTTTCACCTTCAATATCTTTATCTGCAAATTGATCATTATATGCTGCAAGAATATAATTTTCCTGTTGTATGAACTCTTTCAAATTTTGGATCAACTGGTTTTCGAAATCCTCTGGTTTCCTAATTTGATCATTGTATCCCAACCTAACGACACATCGGAACACCTTGTATTCCCTAGGTTCAACATGTCTGAACAAGAAACGTTCCTCGAGTGATACTTTACTTATAGGAATGGATTTGATTGACACGAGAACGATAATAGAGTGGAGAGATGGAATATTGGAGACAAAGTGAGGAAATATTGGTGGAATCCCCTGAACTAATTCAGAGTATAATAGTCCAATTCCTGGTATTCTTTTGATGTCTGGATTACAAGCCAAGTCCCTTATGTAGTCACTCGAGACCTTGTTATTGAGCTCGAAATGATATCTTTGTTTTTGAACATAATGCCAAATCCCCATGATGATCACAAACACAATCGCGAAAGTCATGGGAAGATAACCACCATCCACGAATTTTGTGAGTTGTGCTGATAGATAGGTTGATTCTATTGTTAAATAGACAGAGTAGAACAGGGCGATACGCCATATGCTGATTTTCCAAATAACAAGCATAACTAATGTTACCATATGTGTTGTTATGAGTTCAGCACTAACCACAGCAATACCATAAGCATGTCCCAATTTTTCAGTTGTTTTGAAGCCAAGTGTAACTAAAACACAAGCAATCATGAGGAAGTAATTGAGTTCCGGGATGTATACTTGACCCTCGTGTTTCTCAGACGTGTGAACGACTTTCACCCTTGGGAAACAACCTTGACTATGTGCCTGAGCTACAATCGAAAAAGCTCCAGATATCATCGCTTGACTAGCAATAATTGCAGCAACAACAGCTACTACAAATGTTGGCCAGTAAAGTGCAACTGTAAAAAAAAACACCAACAAAACCAATTATCTATGGTGTTATGATACCATGTGGGACTATACGCAAAATAATTGATGAAATCAACGAATCAATAAATATATTCACAAACGAAACTTGCCTGGAACTGAAGCATAGAAAGCATTTCCAACATCACCAGGGTTTTTCGTTAGATAAGCAGCTTGTCCAATGTAAGCAGAGAGGATTGATGGAAATACGAGGCAACTAAAGCTTATCTGCAATATATTACACATCAATTAATCAATTTATATCGCGTAAGGCTTATTGAAGAAGAAAATGAAAGGAGGCTTACTTGAATGGATCGCACACTAAAATGGCCCAAATCAGCAAACATAGCTTCAGAACCTGTATAAATCCCCAAATGTGTTGTGAGTAAACATTATTTACCAAGTTCGATATTACATACAGAATTATGAAAATTGTTACCTGTAATACAAAGGAAAACTCCGCCAAGAGAAAGCCATCCATTTTTACCATTTCTTTTGAAGTAATGGAAAATGTACATGGGATTAAAAGCGCGTAAAACGCCTATATCATACTTGAACAAATTGTATAGACCAATGCCACTTATAAATAAAAACCAAACACTTATAGCTGGGGCAAATGTATATCCAACTTTATCCGTACCAAAACGTTGAAAACAGAAGAGAGCTACCAAAATCGCGATAGAGATATACATAATCGACTCTACAAGAATCATATTTTTGGTTAAAGTTAGTTATAAGAGAGGAAAAAAATGAAGAAGATGAATTCATTAACATAAATTTATTACCTTGGCCTAGAGGCTTAATCCCACTTACAGCAGAGAGAACTGTATTGCAAAATAACAATGAAGTAATTATTACTCTAATTTAACTTGTTATAGCAAATTGTCTATCGTATTTTTCATGTTATATAGCCACATGAAGTTATTATCCTAGATGTTTGATAAGACCACTTATTTTTGCGTCCTTATATATGTTACTAATATTTATTTATTGACGATTGTAATAGTGTAAAAATTCTTTATATCGAACCTGAGATGCAAGGGGTGAGAACTCCATCACCAATGACCATACATGTTCCAAGGATGGCTAAAAAGACTAGACCAATTTTTGCAAAAATACTGTTCTCCAATTTATGTCTGATTTTTTGAGCTCTTTTAAATGGATTGGATGGTATGTCCAAATCATAGTGTGAAAGTTCTCTATCTTCTGGCTCATGATTTGGGATCAGACTCACTTTTGCATATCTACATATTAAGGAATATAATGCAAATGATCCTCCTGCAAAAATAATAAATAATTAAACTAGATTTTCATCGTATTTTACTTTACGCGACGATATTCAAAATATATATTGACCTAGTATTGGAAATTGTATTTACATATCTCAAAACTAAGCAAGAAGTATTGTTCATAGTTTTGCATAAGTAGGGTCTGTTTGGTAGGAAGAAAAATAACTAAATTTCTTATTTATTTTGTAATATTTTTATAAGAAAAATAAAATATAATAAAAATCTTACAAACAATTATTTTTAATCTAGAAAAACGTGGACTACGGTGGGGTGGGGGTGGAGACAACTTACGAAACTTATTTTTTCTACGGGAATTCATTTTACTCATTTTAAGGAAAATCATTTTCACATAAAAAAATGTATTTTTAAATAAAATTTCTTTTCTAGGAAAAACACCAAAATTGTAGTTGGATATTAAAAAAGGGAAATATACAGGAAACAGCTAAAATTGTCGTTAGATATAAAAAGGAAAATGAGGGATATAATATGGTAAAAAAATTATAAATTGTCTGTTGGATATAAAAGGAAAAAAAGGAAAAAGAGATAATTAAGTTTTTTAAAGCAAGATAATAAATAGGTTCACGCACATTTAATATTCCTAACAAACAGTGCAGAAATGGTCAAATCATATCTTTAACCAAAATTCAGATTTGAAAATATAAAAAGAATGAAACAAATTATAAATATGTATATTAGGTTCATTGAACACAATCTTAAGGAATATTGAAACAAAGATAGAATTTATAGCAAATTTCTAAAAATATCATTTATTTTAATTTTTAAAAATGATATACACTAATGTGAAATTGATAAGACTTTTATATCTTTCATATGTATTCAATGTTGAACAAAATTGTGATTGCAACAATATTTTTTTTTTAAAATTCATTATTTCTTTTTATTAATCATTACACATTTGATATTTCTTCCACTATAAAACAAAGCACTAAACAAGATCAACATTCTACATTTCAAAAAACTTCATAATTATTTTCTATTAATTATGTGATTTCCATAAAATTTTGTATACATTAATATAAGGTACATGTGGAAAGTATGTATCACACAAGACAAAGACTAATAATTCTAAATATTTAAAAGAGTTCTAACAAATTATAGGTACGTAATAATAAAATTATTCAATTCTCCAAATAGTAATGTAAAATGAGCAAGAATATTCTTAAAAACGATTTTGTTACGCGATACGAATCTACAGATATCAAGTGAGAACCCAAATAAACAGATAGTAATGAGGACATGTGTAGCTTACCATTGCCATTATCATTGGCCCATAAGACAGTGAAGACATACTTAGTCATAGGTATGAAGGTTATGGTATATATAATGAGGGACAATACACCAAGAATGTCATCCTTGTGTTTAATTTCATCAGTAAAAGTACTTGAAAAAACATAGAGAGGGGAAGTCCCTATGTCTCCATAGATAACTCCTACTGATTGAAATGCTAAACTCAGTAATGTCTTCCAATCACCCTACATAGTAAAAAAAAAAATTGTGTAGAAATAAACAAATGTTGTAAAATAAATCATTGCTATATATGATTCTATCGAAGTGGTAAAGACAGTTAAAAATCATGTTAGGTCATAGATAGATGAAATCTTGTATATGTTCTTTTGAATTACCTCGTTAAAATTTTGATTTTGAACATCATAAACATTTTGACAAATCTACCTACCAAACATACCCCTCGTGGAACAAATTCAAATGAATCCCTTCATTGGTAATTTGAGTAGAAATAAACAAATGTTGTAAAAAAAAAAATCATTTCTATTGAAGTCTTTAATCGAAAAAATCTCGTATAAGTTCTCATTAAAATTTTGATTTCAAACATCTTAATCATTTTTACAAATCTACCTACCAAACACACCCCTCATAGAAGATGAATCCCTTAATTGGAAATTAGTGTAAAATAAACAAATGTTGTTGTAAAACAAAAATCATTTCTAATGAAGTGG